AGACAATAATAACTTTTAGAAGCTTAAAAAGTTACTGCCCTGGCTCTGGCGCTGGGGTTGCTGCAAAAAGGTACCTCCGTGGTTGCTCTCAGCATCTGTGTGCTGCTCTGAGTTGAGCTGTTTTGCTTTATTTATTCAACCAAAGCGGGGGGGGGACACGACGACGCCACACGACACGATGACAACGAATTAACACAACACGATGACAACGACTTCGTGTCACTTTGGCTCCTTCGTGGTCTGGGCAGTTCTGTGGCTGAGGGGGAGGAGAGCATCCTTGGGGGTTTGGGGCAGCTGGGCCAGGTGCGGGTCAGGCTCCGAAATGCCGTGCCGGCGGGGGGGGGGGGGGGGGCGGGGGCCCCCCCCACAGGCTGTCCCCATATGTTGGCTCGCTGCGAAAACAGCAGCTCAATATTTTTATTATTGTCGTTCCCTGAGCCAGGCCTGTAATATTTTGCAGAGAGGCCCCTCGTCCCCTTCAGCCTCTTTTTCTGGTGGGATCCTCACCCAGCCTTCGCTGCAAGATAAAGCCCAGCAGGTGCAGGACCACTTGTCTATATGGCATTTAGGACAGCCTCCAGCCGATGAGCACTTGGAGGTGGGTTGAAAGCAAGACTAAAACTTCATGCCTGCAGACGCTTTGTTTGCAGTTTGTGGCCTCTGACTGCCTTTTTGTTGTTTTTTTGGGTTTTGGTTTTTTTAAGGAGTCTTTTATTTTTTCCCCCCTTGTATTTTTAAGCGCAGTCTTTTGAAACCTGAGGTGCGAAAGGCTCTTGTTAACTACAGTAGTTGCCACGCCAAAAGTCTTCAGGGTCTGTGAGAAGGTCCCTCAAGAGCTCGAGGTGCTGGATGCACCGTGCTAGAGCCTGAGAGCAAACATTTCCTCTTAAACCCAGTTTAAAAAAAAGCTTAAAACAAGCCCCAGTCTGCAGAAAATGCCCTGCCCGGCAGCTCGTCCTTGCTCTATTCCAGACTGGGGGTGTGAAAATCTCCAGCTCTTTCGGCTGCTCTTGCACTGCGTATTTCAACGTATGCATTGTGTTTCCGTGTGCCTTTTTAACAGTACCTCCGCAGGCTTTGCGCTCCGGAGCCTTAACTCTGAATTTCCTGGCTGCTGGATGATGCATATCCCTGTCTTCATCTTGAATTCATGCTGAGACGGTGTCATATGCTTTTGAACGTATGTATATATTACAAAACAGTGTTAAATGTTCAGTGTAGTAATCTGATGTTCCAGTTAATATGTGACAAATATTTCCCAATAATGGCTTGGCAGCGGGAAGAGCGGAGTGGTACTCCAGCCTGCAGGATGGCGGATTGCTCCATTTCTCGGCAATTCAAACCATGTGTACTTGGGGAAGCCGATCATTTAAAATCCTCCCTACCTCTGCAGACTCAGCAACTCCAGAGGCTCTCTGGCTGCACTTATTATTATTTATATACTTTATTATTTTTATTATTATTATTTTTTAATTTTTGCCCTAACTTTATACACAGGGATCAGCTTTCTCCAGCTTGCTGTGGAAGTTTGGCGTGGTACGTTTTGTGGTTCCCAGCGACTTGAAATATCTGCCCAATTTTTACTGGTGTAAATGTTGTCTTCAAGTGTCACTCGCTATCTGCCGGGTTGTCTCCCCAGGTAATTAGCACAACAGAATTTCCCTAATTGCTGGAGATCAAGGAGAAGAGGGCTCTGCTTGCTTTGTAGTCCTGACAAACGGCAGATGTTTTCCAGCAGGCCAAATGGGATGCGCTGAGCTCTGTTAACACCGGCTCTTTGTTTCGCACTCTTGCGTGATAGCAGCTCTCTATTATTGCTCTCTTTTTACATCTTCAGTATCTGGGTCTGTAGTTCTGCATTTCTGAGTCATGAGTCCTTCAGGATTGTCAAATAGATATGGAAAAATGTCAAATGAAAGCAAGTATTTCTTTTTTAAATTAGTGGTGATCTTAGTGGTGATCTCTGCTTTTCTGAGTTGCTTTGCATCTACTGAGCTTAAATGTCTCAAGTATTCCTTACTGTCACATCAAGAGATGCTTTTCTACGGACTGAAACCATTAAAACTCAGTATTTTTCTGCAATTTTTATGATTTAGAATGAGACAAAGAACTTTACAACATCTCCAAGTTTTAAAAGATTTTCCTAAATCCTCCTTGCCTCGGTTTCTGTGAGAACCCTGTCCCTTCCCGTACCCTGCCAGTC